GGATTTAAACATTTCTTCACAAAGCAGCAACCTTGAAATGAAAAGACGCTGCAGATCAAAAAAAGAAGGAAAAACGCTTGTTTCTAACTTGTTGCAAGTCGACACCGTGATAAAATTAAGGAAAGAAAAATATTCATGACAAAAGCGAGTGCTCTTGAGCATTTTATTAGTCGGTTGGCCAAATAATTTCTGTAATGCAGGAAAATTATTTTAAATCTGTTTTTTTTTTTAACTGTCGAAGGATTTTAAACCTTAGTGATTAAGTAAAACCGGGTATTAATCATTCTTGGAAATACGGCTTCCAGGATGCGAAAATAAGTAAGATATAAGCTTTTAGTAAAACGGACACGAACTTGTGAGATATCCTGTACATGAATACCCTGGTCCAACTTCGTTCAATGATTCAAGTCCTGGTCAAGTCCAAGTGTAAATGAGTCTGAAGCTACTTTTCATGACTGTCAGCGGACAGAGCCTCCGGAAAGCTAAGACTGGGAACCTAAGGACATTACAGAAAAAGGGGAAAAAAGACTCAGAAATGTCGGTTAATTAATAAAAAAAAATTAAAATACGTTAAATAACAAAATAAGTGAACTCAATTCAAACAGCACCATTTTCATTAGCTGTCTAATTGGAACTTTACAGCAAAATGCACCCTACAATAAAAAATATCGATACCATATAAAAATAATGTGATTTATAATAAGGGTAGTAGTTTACGGCGCCTTTATGGGGATTACGTAGAGGCCTGGGTCCGAGTGTCTCGGCCGAGTGAGGTCTAATTAGTTATTCATACCGCGTAGGTACACGAGGGGTTTTAGGGTATCAATATTATTATTCATACGGCGTAGAGATAGGGTTAGGGATCATTATTATTCTTTCCACGTAGGTGTGCGAGGGGTTTAGGGTTTTAGTATTCATAACACGTATGTTCGTGCGTAGGGTTTCATTTTTTAAAAATTAACGGTACAAAAAAGTACAAAGGGAACAAATGATTCCAAGATGGCGGAGAGATTAAGTAGAACATTGGTTTTGCATATGTTTTATTTGTCAAAGAGCACGACATTTGATTTGTAAATAGGTGACATAGGCTAGAAAAGCTGTCATCATGTCTCTGTACAACTGATGGAAAGTAGTTTGTTCTCCCTCGTTGGAATCATAGGTTTCAATTTCGTCAATATATTTAGTCACTTGTCTGCGTATATCGCGAAGATCTTGCGTGGAGGCTTTTTCTTTGACAATGACGAATATTTCGTCAAGGATGGCTCCGGCCCATTGGGGGTTCTGTTCGATCTCTTCGTCCAAATGAGCTACAAACAATTCTTTAGTAGAGGTCATTTCTTTGTCTAAAAGTGGAGGAGAAAGCCACCTGCTGTCTCAGACTAGGTTTACACTAGAGGAGAGTTTTCCGGATTCGTAAATGTTTCCGGATTCATCAATTTTGGAGTATTCGGATTCGTAGACGTTTACACTGAAAGGATATTCGGATTCCTGACCGTTTACACACAACGACAACTCCAGGAACATTCGAAATGGAATGGTTACCAAGCCCAGTGTTGTTTCGTCGTTCGATCGACAAAGTGAAAATGCCTCCCCCAAAAAAGGCTAGAGTAGATCCAGATGCCAATGAGGCAAATTTGAGTTGGACAGATGCCAAGCAGTCTACGTCGACGGCGATTAAGTGTGGCTGACGTTAAACTTCCTTGCAATAATAATTTGCTTTTCTTCAGAAATACCGCGGTACACGTGATAAAATTTATCGCCTGAACCTGTAACAAGATTAGGCAACCGGAGACCGCCAGCAATGTTAGCACCAGATCTATTTTGGTTTCACCGCAAACTCAAAAGATTGCAGGCTGAAATAATATCCGGATTCGAGAAAAAAAGCGGTTACACGACAAAACTTTCCGGATTCAAAAGTTATCGGATTCAAAGTTCCCACTTTAAATTCCGGATTCAAAATTTCCGGAGACACGACCAAACCGGGAAGTTTTTATTTCGCATTCGTCCACTTTCGTGTAAACGACAGAATCAATCCGGTACTAAAACGTTTCGGATTCATCACGAATCCGGAACAATTTCCTCTAGTGTAAACCTAGTCTCAAATACCCTAGATTCAACCGGTGCACTTGTCTGAAATGCGTTTAAAAATGAAATGTTTGTAAAAAATGTAAGATCATTTAATACATAAATGTGATTGAACGTAAAGGTCCGTCTAGTATTGATTGCCTAGCTGTCAAAGTGTTTGGGTAGACCTTGTCGCTATAAACTCTTGGTCAGTATTATAATGTCTGACTTTTACGATTTCTCCTGTGATTGCGGTCAATGCAAATAGTGTGTACGAAAAGAAGAAGAAATAGAGTGACAAGCGTTTTGGCAGGACAATTTAAAAAGAATAAGAGCACTCTAGAAACCAAAGTGGATAGACGAAATATTGGTGTCTATTATGAATGATACACAGCGTCACGCAACTACCCATACCGGAACTAGGACAATAGAGTATCCAAACTTGAAAATTAGAAGGAAATGTATGAGAGATGTAGAAAGGAAACACAAATTAAAAGCGTGAAATAAATCCTGGTTTAGGGTTAAATTGGGTAGGTTATAGGAGCGTGTTTTTTTTTTTTCATAATTTGAAAAAATAAAGGTCATCTAAGATGGTGTAAAACAATAAAAATAATGAAACCTAAGATGGTGTTTAATCCTCCCTTAGGGAAAATGATTTCAAAATAAAATAAATATTTAAAAAACCTTCATTTTAGAATCAAAGGAAAAAAATCGTCGTGACCAAGATTCGAACCTGGGTTATTGCGGTCACTCACACGACCACACCCCTAACTCTCACCCTATAAGCCCTAACCCACTTAATCTCATATTTAAATCAAAATCAAAACCCTAACAGTCAAACATCAGAGTGAGACAAACAATGTAAACAATAAAACGCAAGATGGCGACTCATACTTCCAATGGTAGAAGTGATTTCAAGATGTCATTAGCATCCGTATCGTGTAAAAAAGATCGAGAATAAAAGAGGTTGTTTCCGCCTAAACCCTATGATGGGATGTGAATAATTCATCCTACTCCAATAAAATGAAAATAGTTCGGATGGTGATCACTCAGTATTCAAAATTCTCTGAAAATGAACAATGATCCGTTCGAGGTAAAAACATGCAATAGCTTTTTTCTCTATAAAAATGTTTACTTTAGTTCAAATCTTAATCAATAATAAACTAACGTGTGAGTGTGATCAGTAGCAGTGACGAAAGTGTTTTAAATTCTATACAAAATTCCGCACGTGAGGAAAATAACAACGATACATCGACGCAATTCAATGACAATGATTCGAAGAGAAATAATTAAACCTCCCGTTTAAAAAAATTATCAGAAAAAAATCGAACGAAAAGGGTATTCAAAAACGCAGCACCATGCTCATGGACATTCCCATTTCTCGGGAAAAATGAACCATAGAGCAGACAAACCGGGGGAAAATACGAAATGCCAGCAGGCGTTGTAACCTAGGTAGTCTCATTATTATCTGTCCATCAAATTTTAATCAAGTCATAGCATCCTTACATTTTTTGGGAAG